ACATTTGTATGTATGTGAGATTTTATTAGCGGTTAGTGGAGGTCATTCACTTTCATACGAATCATTGTACACGTATGTATTAAGGATGTTACGAATATTTCGATTCGCATTCGCTTGTGCTATTGATTTTAAACATACGTATTCGCATCATATGATGCGAATGTTTTGCGAATGCTAACATTTAAAAAGTTCTGCTAAAAGTCTTATAAGTAACCTAGAAGGAATTTTATATTACTCCAGCTCTAGCAATGGCTCGGTTGTGGAATGTGGGGGCATTAAAAAATGCGAAATTAAAGCTCCGTTGAAGGCCTTTCTTAAAGAAAAACGAGCCTCACTGGATGAAAGCCCTCTCGATTGGTGGAAAACTAAACTAAAATACTGCAACTGAACGGATCTGGCCCGCAAATAAATGAAACTAGATTCAATTTGTGACATCTTGTATCTCTAAGTAGTCTCTAAGCAAGTAAGTTCGTTGATCTAGATTCCTATTGAACGAATAAATAAATAAAAGAATTGATCTCTCCACCCACCAGTATTCAGAGTTCACTGGAGCTGGTACATACGAGCCTCTAAGAAATCGTCTCATAGGCAAAAAGGTGACAAAATTACTTTTTCTGAAATTTAGATAATATGCCCCTTTTGAACTTTGACTATAAGATTAAAACACTGTACAGGTGTAACACTGGTTCAATGTTCCAATAAGTTTGTATTTTATTGCAATTTATATAATTTGTAAGTAATATAAACAATAGGGGATTTATGAAACGGCACAAAGTTGTTGCAAATGTTGCGACACAGCTGATTACTTTTGCATGGAAACTTTTTTGCGACAAAATTGCGACATTTCCATAGTATTTGAGCTGGCAATCATTGCAAAGTCAAAGTCGCGAAACACATGTTTTTTATTGTCTTCAAATACTTCAAGTAAAAGTATATCAGTTGAGGCTGCTTCGAAATGTAATTGTATAAACTTTTCTTGTCCTCTAACGCGCAGCATTTAAAAAAAAAATAAATTATACATTTGCAATCCGGATTTGCGATAGGGTCGTTCATACGACTTTGTTCGCAACACTGCCATTTCGCCAAAAAATGCCACTTGGCGACGTTTTATGAATCGCTCTAATGACTTAAGTTCGTTGTATCTGTTTTAATGTTATTGCTAAACATTCGCAATTCGCATTCGCATTCCCTTCGACATTCGCGAATGTGAAATGTATGACATTCGTAACATCCCTGGCATGTATGTACGAACATACATGTGTGCATAGGGCATACATACATTCATATGTATACAAGTGCAGGTTTTTTGCTCTTCGCTTTTTAAACTTCTACAAACTGCATATACATATTTCCAAGTACTAGTTGTTGGTCTCGTCAACCGCAACCTAGTAGTTAGAACAAAACAAAAAAAAAATATTGAAGAATAGTAAAATGTGCACGCGATAACTTTGTTTATATACTTATGTAAAAGTCGGCACAAAGCAATTGCTGTCATACTGAATTTTTGTTATGTATGTTGTTACAACAGTACATACATACATACATGCATACATATGTGCGTATGTAGATGAGCTCCCATTTTCGAAATGCCCTAATTTATGCTCTGTTTTTATTCAAACATAATATAAACAAGTAATTTGTTAGCAAAAAAAAAACGCGACTTCAATTCTCATATAAAAAAAATNTGTAAAAGTCGGCACAAAGCAATGGCTGTCATACTGAATTTTTGTTATGTATGTTCTTACAACAGTACATACATACATACATGCATACATATGTGCGTATGTAGATGAGCTCCCATTTTCGAAATGCCCTAATTTATGCTCTGTTTTTATTCAAACATAATATAAACAAGTAATTTGTTAGCAAAAAAAAAACGCGACTTCAATTCTCATATAAAAAAAATCCAATGATCGGATATAAACCAGATTAGTATGGGACCACCTCTGAGACACTACCTTTCCGATGCAAATCGATCGATCGAAATCGGTTGACGTGGTCCAAAGTTATGCGGTAACATACAAAAAAAAAAAATATTCCGTCGAACTGATAACCTCCTTTTTTTGAAATTGGTCAAAAATAGTTGCTTATATACTTGATTGCACTAATTTTTATCAAAACGTGATCGTTTCCTTATTAAGTAGTTAAGAATTAATTCTGTGATCATAAGCAATAACCGCCTAAGTCGAAAAACCTGAATTCGAGAAAAAACGTTTTAAACATTTGGATTGTACGGTTAGCCTTATGGGGAAACCAAATTACTTTCGCCTATAACTTTCTAAGTAGCACAGCTGGTGAGATGGGGATTTCACGTACGCATGGAAGAGGGGTTGCAGAATACGATAGCATGTATAACTCCATTCTTTCTTAAGTCGACTTAGGCGGTTATTGTTTGTGACTACAGAATTTACCACCTATCCGATATTTATTCAATCGAAATTTTACACACTGTAAGCATTAAATCGCGCATTGGCGATGATTAATACCGCAGACGATTTAACGATGAGCTGGATGAGTTTTACAACGATATAGAAATAGTGCAGCGAATTAAAGACCAGGTGCTAAAAAAACTTTGAAATTTGGGTGATAATTTTTTGATTTTCTTTTTTTTGTAGTTTTATAGAAAATTTTAACCTTGGGTTTATCTGGATTTTGAAAGAGAATTACATAACTGTATTTTATTAGAAAATGCTTAAAAATATATAAATAAATATAAGTGGCAAACAATATCACTTTGAAATGGGGTGCTATAGATATATCCGACAGCGGATATGAGATGAAGAAAGGGAAATAAAGATAGAGGGACAAATGAAAAATAAGAATGTTGATTAAGATATGGGATGCCATGTTACGTTGCTCACCGCACTTCATTTCAACGCGCTTCACCTCACTTTAATTCAACTCAGGGCAATCCACTTAAACTCACCTCACCTCAGCTCCCCTAAACTCAACTTAACTCACCTATTTCACCTCAACTCAAACCATCTCACCCAAAATCATCTAAACACACGCCAACTCACCGCAACTCACCTCAACTCAACGCACCTTAATTGTATGTATGTAGGTACATAATTACATATACATACATATGGACATATCTATACCAGGGATCAAAAATAACTGTTATCTCGAATTTACAAATTGAATACGTTGCCTGAATTCTGAAATTTAACGAAAATGTTGTTTCATAACAGTTAATAGATGAGAAATATTTTTTCCGTTGCTGATAAGAGTTATTTCCCAACGTTTATTTTTTACGTTGCTCGATAACGGTTATTGCCCAACGTTGATTTTTGGCGTTGCTTGATAACAGTTATTGCCCGACGTTTATTTTTACGTTATCAGATAATAGTTATTTCACTCTCTCACTTTTATTTCATCGTCTTTATCTTATTCTCCATCTCCATCTTCATCAATATCCTAATCTTACAACGTTTATCAGACAACGTACAAAATAAACGTTGTAAAATAACTCTTATCCAGCAACGTAAAAAAAAACGTTGGGAAATAACTCTTATCGGCAACGGAAAAAATATTTCTCCTGCATAACAGTTATCAGGCAAAGTAAAAAATAAACGTTGGGTTATAACTCTTATCGACGAAATAAAAAATATTGCTCATCTAATAACTGTTATGGAGCAACGTTTTTGCTATAAAACGTATAACTGTTATGTCCCTGATATCTATGCATTATTTCTTTAACCAGTATTAGGTGTATGAAATAAAAAAGTAATATATATACATATAACCGTGCAAAAAAGATAAAATATTAAAAACAAACTGGGAGATGTAACAAAATCCGTGCACAATAAAACAAGATCATGTAAAAAGAGGATCAAGATTATTACTTAGCAGATTGAACCCCATACGGATGGCGCTAATGCGAGTTAATGATCCTATCTAATTCTTGCCCGTGAATACGCGCGCTTTGAAACGTCGACGCGAACAATAGGTTTTTTTTTTATAAACACTGACGTACCTATAACCAACAAATATACAAATGTACATACACAAATATATACAGATGAATGGCTACAACTATTTATGACAAGTTCATGTATATACATACACATGTCTATCTGCCTGTACACGCATACTTGTATATTTCGAAAAATAAAAATATGCAAGCCCTCTCTCACGATCGTCTCTCTGTACCTAAAATAATAAGTACAAAGATCGTTTGTTGTGTTGTTAATTCGAAAAATACAAACAGACGCCTACATTTATGTGTATGTATGTGTTGTGCTATGTACATATGCATGTATTATATATTGGATTAATCACCCCAGCCTTCTCTCGTTAAAATCGTCGACTCTATACAATATTATCTCTTGCTAGGTATGTACGTAAATAAAACGAGACCGATATTTCAAGAGCACACAAGAGTGTAACTAGGGTCGGTAATCGCGCTCACAAACATAAGCATACTCCACGTGAACAGACGCATAATCATCAGGGTCGACACTTCTCAACTCTACTCCAACATTTGGCTCCGGTCTGCAATGCCAACTAAAGCAATTCGAACCGAACTAAAGCAAACAAGATCCAACGACAACGCTGCTTTTCCTTTCATTGACATACAGCGCTTCAAGACGAACGGGTCGCATTGGTGCGGTTGTGTATCGGTTTATTTCAAATATATTTTATCTTTGGCTTATATGTGTTTATTACAAAAAAATGGTTTAAAGAGAAATATGATTTACATATTTTACGTAAACTGATCAATTAAATATATACGTAGTACATATAAAACAGTGTGCAAGACCCCCGCAGAATGTTTTCTTACTACAGACATTGTGTATATTTTTTTCTAAAAACAGTGTTGTGCAGTTTACCAGATGAATTATAAAAAATAATATAAAAAGAGTGCAATGAATTCTGTCTATCGATTCCCCAGCTTAGCTGCAATTATGTAGTTATAAAATCGTGGCTATTTTGTATTAAGAAAAGTTAAATTAAAACCCATAAGTTGTGTTTAAAAATATTTCATCACAATGAAAATGGTTATGTCTGCTGACAGTTCTGACTGTCATGTTAGCAGCGAAAGTGCAAGTGCGCGATTGTCGTCTTCCACATCGGAGCAATTAGTGTCATCCGTTCGAGATGCGATCGATTGTCAACTTATGCTAAATTGTGGCAGAGGAGGTGAAAATAAATCCGCACTCAATCATATCTTCCGGTAAATCCTGAGGAAAGGTCGGAACATCAAAATCAATTCCATTCATTTAGAATAAATCCACTGCAATCAACGCTCACACAAGCATCACCAGCTTCGAGTACTACACCGGATCTGACATTGTAGTTGGGCGATCACATTTAGAAAATGCTTTAAAAATGCCACCAAACACTAGTGCTTCCACTTACTATCAGCAAACAAAAGTATTACCAAGGTCATCGCATGTTGTTCCACTTCGAAGTTCCCAACCAAACGACAACAACTTTAACGGACATTCACCTATACATTCAAATAACTTTTTCATCGACTGCGTGGATGGAGCGCAGATGCCTTCAACGAAGTCTACTACTACCAGCGAACCAACATTAACAGCATTTCTACTGTCGACAGTGCAGCCAAGAATGATGAAGTGAATTCTATGCATACTAATTGTCACTCCGATATTATAAGCTCAAATTTTGAAAATGACAGTCATATCTCCCCAAACTCTGGGTCTTTAGCGTTTCCTTCTGCATCCGCTTGCAAAATACCTCACAGCAATGTTATATATATAAACAAGACAACATGCAACATTAATAACAACACAGTTGTAGTCCAAGCATCACATTTAACAAAAAATCTTCAACAAAATAGTGTCCACACACCTTACATATCTCATAGTAATAACAATAATAAAAATTCAATAACTCTGTTGTAAGTACAACGGAATTTATGCCATCTACTATGTCAAATGAGAATTATTCACAAAACATTTCATATCAACCATGCAATGTTAACACCACCACCCACGGACACGTTTATCAACAAAATATGTGTGGAGTTAATAATGTGTCCCGAGAAGTAACAGAATCGAGACCGCAGACACCTGATTACATAAAATCTTACCCAGTTATGGATACAACAGTGGCGAGCTCAGTAAAAGGAGAACCCGAATTGAATATTGGTAAATATCGCTTATTACATCTGTTTAGCCTTAGGTCCTACATGAAAAAATTAAAACCAAAAATAAACTTTTCATTAAATTACAAAATTTTAAGAGATAACTGCAAAAATGGCTTTAATGACTTGACATCACACTGGCACTTTGGACAGATGGCAGTTTATTTTTGCGAAAAAAAAATTAAACATCACGAGAATAACTGCTTTATCAGTTTTTTGACCTCTTGCTGAGGCGGAAGATTTGTTAATTAGCAATTCAACCGGTTTTGCTAAAGCATACTCGAATTTATTGTTATCAATAACGATGACTAAGTTAATGCTTATCGCGGCCATATGCAAATGCTTTTAAATACAATGACGGTACTCAGTCCATGTGGCATATAAGGTGTAATTTTGCTATAAATGCTTTTCCAACACCAAAAGCTACTTTTCACCTAAAATGCCACAAGGAAAGAGTACTATCAATATATAACTTTTTCTTTTTGCATATGAGACACATTTCCATATGTACATACATATCGTCGCGTGTGTAAAAGATTGTCGTATGTTAATTTCGGCAGGTTGTTGGAAATTGCGATTGAAGTTTGGAATGCAATTTTTCAAAAACGCAAAGACAGATTTTCTTCAAAGTCTCTGAAAATGTTACTAGTTCACAAAATTCTTAAATTATTTAATTTTTAATGTTTACTGTTAATTAGTTTTGAGTTTATGAAGGATATTCTTTAGTAAAATTTCGTTGTAAGCGTCATTTGTCCACAATTTGGCAGCCACTTAAATTAACAACACTTTTTACTCAATATCTCGGAAACTAAAGGAGATATACAAAAGAGGAAAACACCACTTCTAAGATATTGATTAGTTTAATATGACTGCATCACTAGCTAAATTTTTACTAAATTATCGAAACAATTGTAGTCAATATCTCGGACACTAAAGCAGATATCTAAAAACTGATAACATTTCGTCATTTTCGAACGTTCGCAACAATGTTTACTGGGTTAGAGTTTTTTAAATTTATGGCACGGTTTTTTGTTTTTTTATGTAATCCTACATGGTAGGTATTCTGAAGCAATCCATTTTAAAATAGGTATGCTACGTTTATACACCCAGATTAATCGAATCAATTGAAAACGCATCTACAGCGTACACATTTCGCTCTAGTGTTTATATAGGGTGATCCGTCTAAACCTTTCTTTAATTTAAAATAAACCACCTAAAACCGAACTGGATGTCGGAATCTTTATTATTATTATCAGTTTCGATAATATGCTATGAGATATTGAAATATTTGGATCAAGTTTGGTGGAAATCGATAAGGGGGGCTATCAATATACACTTATGCATGTGGTCATAAGTGGGTGGTGCCAACGCCCATTTTACAAAAATCAATAATATTGTGTCTCGTTTAGAGATTGTTGTAAGTTGGCGTGTTTAGTTATTGAAATATCGGAATTTTCGTAATTCTAAAATTTACCGTTATATGGTAGGTGACGGTAATTTTAGTCCGATTTCAAAAATTTTCAACATTGCGCTTTTTTGTAACAAGCTTGATAAATGTACCAAGTTTGGAAGAAATTGATATACCGGTTACCGAGATACACATATGCAGGCGAAAGTGGGCGGTTCCATGCCCATTTTCCCAAAAATTTCCCTACGTAGCATTTTCTGCTGAGAGATCATTGTATATATCGATTTTGAGTAAATTAGCTTAAATAGTTACCAATTTATCGCAGTTTTATTACAGTATTTCTGTAAATTACAGTTATATGGGAGATGGACGTGGTTCTTGTCTGATTTTAAAAATTTTCATAAGGTTTCTTAGTGAAGCTCTAAGCAATGTTCATACTGATACCGATTTTGGTGAGGATTGGTGAAGGAACTACAGAGATACAGCATTTCATCGTAAGTGGGCGGTACCTCGCCCATTTTCAAACATTTCATAAACTCTATTTCGCGTACCAACTTTCAACAATTTGGAAATAGTATTTACGGAAATATCGTGGTTTTCTCATATTTCGAAAATACCATTATATGGAGGGTGGGCGTGACTATTGTCCGATGTTGCCCCTTTTCAGTCATTACCAATCTTAGATGAAGGAAACTTACCTACCAAATTTCGCTGATATATCTCATTTTTTCTCGAGTTATCGTGTACACGGACAAACACACAGACAGATGGAAGGACGGACAGACATGGCTTAATCGATTTCTTTTTTCGTTCTTAGCATTTATGTAAATTGTTGTCTATATCTATCCCGATTCGTTTGGGCTGTTACAAACAACCGTTATGCCAACAAAGTTATAATACCCTTGTGCACAAGTGCGCTCGGGTAGAAAAAAGGCTTGTAGACCATTCCATTTTAGTATAACATGTACAAGTTTGGAGTAGCTTGGACTTTCCATTGATTTTTTGGCAATTATTTTTGTTAACGGTATCAGTCATTTTCTTCCTACAAAGCGTGTTCGACGACTTCTTTACATGGTAAGAATTAACGAAAATTTTAACAAACAAAAAAAATCGCCAAAAAACAAGTGCTATTTCAGACTTGCACTTATTATAATAATTATTATTAAGATTTGTTAGACTACAAGGTTGTTTTTTTATTTGTTAGTTAGTTGTTGCGAGCGCTAACTGAAACAAGTAATTAAAAACGAATCTTTTAAAGACAATCTTTTTTGGTGATTACCAAAAAAATCGAGTTATTAAGAAACATACATTCTAAATATGAACCATACCGGACCATAAATACGGGGTTTTCAAATATCTCGACCCCTGCGCCCCCTAGCGGATTGATTCAACTTTCATATTGCATTGTCAACGGGTTCTGAGCTAAGTTTAAGGTTTCAAGTATCCAGCCCATGGTGAAATGGGTTTAAAATTGATTCCAAGATTTGATTACACATTAAAGTGGTCCAAAAATTTATGTAAAAAAATAAGGTCGGATTTTTAATGCCGGCACCCCCTAGGATTGTTCTACATCGAAAAGAAATTTACCCCTATTTTTTATTTTGAAAAAAAAAATAAATAAAAATAGGGAGCGCTCAAAGTTTTCCATGTATTTTATATGGGGGAAAAACAAGTTTTCGTAGAAATAGTGTAGAATTCTTGAAAATCGACAGTTTACGATCGGAAAACTTTTCTTATCTTCAGGAGATTCCCAGTAATAATACGCAATTGTCTCTTTAACCAGTTTTTCATAGTAACTATATTTTATAGGTCCTCCAAAACCCCTAGAAAATGCAATGTAAAAATCTTTAATCATAAAAAATGGTTAAATAAACAATTGGATATTAATACTAGAAGTCTCCTAAAGAGAACCACAGTTTTCCGATTGAAAAATATTGATTTTTAAGAGTTTTATACCATTTCTACGAAAATTGGTTTTTTCTCCATATAAAATACATGGAAAACTTTGAGCGCTTTGAGCACGCCCTAAATATTTTTTGATTTCAAAATAAAAAAATAGGGGTATATTTTTTCGATATAGAACAATCCTAGGGTGTGCCGGCATTAAAATTCCAACTTAATTTTTTTGGACCACTCTATTACACATAGTAAAAGCTTGTAAAAATAGGAAATTTTACCACAATTATTTTTTGTGAGCGACGACGAAATTTTCATATGGGACCGAAAGAAAAAAAATTGTTGTTTTATTAGATGCGGTTTTATACATAGGTATATTGTATGCAAAACCGATGCTGACAGCTAAACTATTGTTCAATAAAATTTTTGAATAAATTTAAACGGCTATGTGTATCTAACTATGCATACATTTTGTAAAGAAAAGTAAATAGATATGTATGAGGAAATCGGAGAAATTAACTTGTGTAAACTTTTTGTTTTTAAAATATTATTACATAAAACATCGGTGCGGATTTTTTATGGTAAAATCAATTCAAATATTCATCTAAATAATAATATTAAAACCAATAAACATTTACTAATTTAAGTGCATATTGCAAATTTACTTGTTAAAAAAAAAACATTACACTTAATTTGAATGCATTTTCTCCAATAATCGTGCACCGCTGGCGCTTGCTGTAATGAAAATCGGCGCTTGCCAAAGCGGTTCATTGAACTGCTCGTGCAGTCAGTAAGTCGCCCAGTGGGTTCATTGCTTTCATGCATTGTGCGGTCATATTAAACGCGGTGGCTAGAGGTGGACAAGTTTGATGCTCTTGAATGTCTATGTCCATACATTTTTACACACGTAGATATATTTATATTATTTGGTAATAGTACACACAAAATGTACACAGACTGTAGTATATGCAGTACTTCAGGCATACATACATACATATGAATGTGTACACGTACATATGTATGTGCATTAATACATATATTTTCTTTTAAATTTACGTCCTTCTTTTCAACCTTAAAAATGCAAAAAGTGAAACTTTCAATGGATTAAATAAATTATCAGGTACTCAAGGTACACAATTATTGTAAATACATATGTATGTACATACATACATACTTAGGTATGGATGTGCCACTCTCTGTAATTTAAGTCAGTGCAATAATTGACATTTTTGTCACCCTACACCCCACATTTTTATTTATGTTTATTTGTAATAATATATAGTATATGCACATACTTACATAAACATCTGTGGGACCAGAAATGAACCTGATAGCTTTTCCTCTAAACCAAATTAATTGGCAATGCAAAGCGACTCAAGTAAGACCTCTTTACTCTTAAGTAGAGTTATCAATTGTAGTTTAATTAACATTTTATAGAAAAGTGGTTTATTTTTTTAAGTTTCACATTTACCAGTTAGGCGTTTTGCATTGTTGAAAACAATGCACGTGTCTCGCTTGCAAGTCCAGTAAGTTCTAGCCAAAATGGTAATATGTGTGACAAATATCAGGTTTCTTTAATAAAAATTTTCTACATAAATACGTACATACATACTCGTATGTGCGGATGCATGTCAACATACCCATATGTACATACATAGATAGATAGAAATTTGTTTTATTTGGTATTTTACCGACTTGATTGACGTAGTTACGTTCGTATGTGTGTATGTATGT